CACACACGCACACGCACACGCACACGCACTATATATATATATATATATATACTTGTTGTTCTTACAGCGCGTACTGCTGTCTTAAATATACATTAATATATAGCTATAAACTGATTAACTCACCATTGGCTGCGAATACCTCGCACTCTTCCCTGGTCATACCCTCCTTAAAGTTAGCATCACAGAAACCGTATATGTAAGAACTTCCAGATCCTGTTTTAGTAAATGAGATAGGAAGTGAGAATCGAAGTTTGTTTGTGAACCTTAAATGTTATAGGGAATCACAAAAGTATGATATACAGATAAAAAATATGCATTTTGAATGTTCAACTATTGGTAGTCAACCATACCTCTATCTCAATTAGCTGGTGAACTCACGCTGACAGCGCACATGCAAGCATATAAATACATCTATATCAATATCAATATCTATATCAATATCTAATGTATCTATGTCTATATCTATATCAATATCTAATGTATCTATGGCTATATCTATATCTATATCTATATATATACATATAAATGTATACATATATATACGTATACATATACATATGTATACATATTCATATATATATATATATATAGAGACACACACACACACATATATATATATATAGAAATACACACACACACACACACATATATATATATGTTACCTTAGACAACTAACCCTCCAATAGAGGAGGGCTAGCAAAAACCATACCGGGAAAGTACTTCAGTAAACTCACCGCTAACAATATCCCTGAGCACACCAGCCGTCGACACACACACACACACATGCGTAGGCACACAATCACACACAACTACCCACCCCATTCGGTGTACATCCCCATGCCACATCACGAGTAACGACACACACACACACATACCTCCGATGGAGAAGGGCTGGCGCACCTTCATGCCGCCCAGGGGGAGGGTGTATACCTGTCCACCGTTGGTCTTGTCCCACCCGGCACAGATGATACCGGCCATGAGGTTGTCTCGGTTGTTGTAGCAGATACTCTTGAACATGTTGGCGGCTGTGTTCACCAGAGGATCCTCGCCCAGCTCCACGCTATAAATAGAACACGGAGTGGGGGGATACGGGTGAGTATGGTGTGGTGTTCTATAAATAGAATACAGGCTGTTGGTTTTATAAGGTACGTGTAGGTATAGTGGAGCGTTGGGATGATTGCGGTGGAGGACACATTGGATTGTGGCGACGGTCCAAGTCACATGACCTTAACTTACTACTGGTATATACAGAGAATGTATACTCAGATTCTTCTGATTATCTCAGTATAAGTATAGAGATGGGCGTGATGGGCGGTAACACTGATGCAACTATCACTACAACACACTCGAAATAAGCAGGATTTTTACTACGGATGGACATGGATGTGCTGGGACTGAGGATAGATAGATATAAATCTCTAACCTTGTGCAGGGAGACTTATATATATACATATATATATATATACATACATATATATATACCTGAAAATAACAATGCTTATATACAACCCTGCAACACATCATGTAGCTCCGCAGGGGCATGCAACAGTAAACAGCAACGTACAAATGAATATACACGCGGCATAATTCGCGATTGGCTTCACATCCATGCAGCAATGGGTGCAGACTTTGACGTCTGAGTATATGTAGTCTTGTACGTGATCAACCAGCGTCAGCAAGCTACGCGTGGATGATTGAATAATATCGTACATAACTGGCAAGGGGCTTGTATTATATGTATTCAACCATAGGCCAGGCAGAGACTTACGCATGGATATTTAAGTAGTATTGTACGTAGTTGGCAACCGCCTGTGTGTCTGCGGCGGACCCTGAGCGGCAGCAGTAGATCTTATCACTGATCATTGTTAGTTTATCAGTCACTCTATTCGCAATGTATGACCTGTGTAAGCGGGACGAAGAAGGAATATATGAATGAGTATGGGAGTATATCACATATACATATACATAATATATATATATATATATATATGAGCTCACGAAGACTAACAAATGGCAATGACTGTAAATTGTCCTTGGTAACTCAGCCCTATACCGAAACACGCATATAAGAACATATGTAACTTAAGCGCATGCTGATATATACAGTTCCATTAATAATCAACTTGCTGGTTCGATGAGGGCAGTCAGTATCACTACAGCACATATTGACTACCCAAGCTAATAACACACGCACGCAGCCATCAAGACACAGTGTGTAAGTATATCCACACACACACATATATATACATATATATATAATATTTGACTTTCGGTTTGAGGATATCATACACACATACACTATATATATAGTCTACGTACACATGGAATAAGGTATACAGCGTGAAAACCAGGTGCTGGACATGGGCCTTGGACATACCCAGTTGTCGTTCTTGAATCGGCTCCAATAATCACACCCCCATCGTATTCTACGGCCATAATAGTGGTCTGAGGATAGCGAAGTAGATGAATCGCAAGGCAGGTAAGTACATACAGCAATACTTGAACATGGAATTCACTCAGCAATAGTCGAACATGTACAACTAAAAATAGGTAGCGGATACGGTTAGATATCGAGAACTATAGAATGAACTTATAAACGCGTTAACACTGTATGTTTGCAAAGTCACACGAGGTCGAAAATAACGGGCCAAAGAATGATGTAAACTTTAGTCTCTCTGATACAACAGACACCGAGAGTTGATTTTTGTTTTGAAATAAACGATGTTGAGAGTGTAACAAAACTAGAACAAATACACAATAAATGGGTAGAACACACTGGTTAGATATCAATAGATAGCCGTCTAGTTACACACATGCATCAAACTGCGTATAGGAACTAAGTACATATGCTTAGGTAACAAACAACTAGCATGAACTAAGTACATATGCTCCTGTAACACACAACTAGCATGAACTAAGTACATATGCTCATGTAACACACAACTAGCATGAACTAAGTACATTTGCTCATGTAACACACAACTAGCATGAACTAAGTACATATGCTCATGTAACACACAACTAGCATGAACTCAGTACATATGCTCATGTAACACACAACTAGCATGAACTAAGTACATATGCTCATGTAACAAACAAATAGCATGAACTAAGTACATATGCTCATGTAACAAACAAATAGCATGAACTAAGTACATATGCTCATGTAACACATAACTAGCATGAACTAAGTACATATGCTCATGTAACACACAACTAGCATGAACTAAGTACATATGCTCATGTAACACATAACTAGCATGAACTAAGTACATATGCTCATGTAACACACAACTAGCATGAACTAAGTATATATGCTCATGTAACACACAACCAGCTGATGATCGGATACAGGCACAGGTTGTGCGGACCTGACGTACCTCTCCAAAAGTAAATGACAGTCACAATCACCACTAAATCAGAAACTGATGGAAAATGAAATAGATCACTAAAGAGAAAAATTCAAGAAAACACGCATGATCGTCCTTTATACAGTTTGCTGTATGCCACACATGAGTGCAATAAGCAGTGTGAACGAATATCATTCTATGTCACGTGTTATAATCGACACATACTTCAATAAATTTTGATACATATAAATATATATATATATTTACATACATAAACCTATATATATATAGATATATATATAAACATATATATATAA